TTAGAAGTCTTTGGATAGTTTCACCTCTCCTCAAAAACCTCTAGTGCTATCTATGATCTAAAAGTCCAAAGCAGTGTTTTCTTATGTCAAGGTTTTCTTATTTCAGTTGAAAGTTATCTACTACCTACTTAGTTATTATTATTAGTTTTACGTGAAATGGATTACAGGACACCAAAATTTCTGCTTTAAAACTCGTGCTTGTATAAACTATTCTAAAGATCAAATTCCAAATACTAGCAGGCAAAAGTTTACGAGACTCGAACTCGAACTCGGATTTAGACATTTTGTCTGAAGTAGCTACTTCTTATATATACTACTTCGTATGTTGTGTAAGTTTCAGCTGGGAATGCAGATACCAGCCGAGTTATGTATAGCTGCCCCGGATCAGAGCAGGAGAAGGAACGGCGAAGGTGTTAGTCAGTAAGAGTCTGACACTCCTTCTCTCTTCATCCAGGGAAAGGGAAGTCATTGAATGATTTAGCACCTCAAAAAAAGAGCGCTCGTTTGAAACCCGGCAAGTGGCAATATGTCGTTTTCTAGGTTATTGTTCACTTTCTAGATGAACCCTGACAAACGGTGATGCAATGAATAAATTTGGATGTTAATTTTAACATTTTATCATTTCCAGTTCTCATAAATCGTTATACATCTTTGTTACTTCATGTCGATTGCACTATCAATGCACTTTTCGAAACATCGTGATTAAATTGCACATTGATATATCGATATAATAGTTATAATATTAAAGAGATTCTATGCATACTAATTTAATATAGGATGCTGTTAGTTGCAAAATAATTCGGGGATCTTGTTTGGCATTTAGTCTGTGGGTTGGATTACATTGCAAATGCAATAGTTAAGCACCGTGTGCTTTTTAGGTTACGCAAATTAATATTATGTACTGTGTTTTTTATTTAAAATGTTTGTTTTATAATATTATGATAAAATAACAAAATATACTTAGGTACGTTAATCTGATTGAGAAGAGGGCATGTATTTTTTAGTCATCGAATCAATCCTGAAATTACGACAAAGGCGAAGAAGAATCTTAGACTGGCATTTTCATTGGTTGTCCCACCCTCTCGATGGGGTTATAATAGACATGCTTAACAAATAGTTTGGTGATTGTAGTTGTGTTATCAAACATTTACAGGAAGCTACTGCAGCCAAGCTCAGTGGTTGAGTCAAATTTTAGATATACTTTTTCATCAAAAAATGGGTCAATGTCAGAAAATTAAATGCCATTCCATTTTATAACTAAAATTCAATCATAAAAATGCAGAAATTTTACAAATGTTGATGACGTCCGGTCAAGGCACGAGTGTAAGTGTAAATTCGTTAGGTTGGTAAGTACGTTAGGTTTATGTCAATACAGTAGATATTTCTTCATTGTAACGTCACTTGTGTCAATGAAGAGTAACGTAACAATGATTCTATAGTAAATGATTACTATGCTACCAGGTGGAAGACTACGATGAAAGTAACCAAAAGTCCTTTTGGGTATTTTCTATAATTGTAAATGTATTTATTTATTTTAATTTTTGATTTACTTTTAGTAAAAAGAGTTTAAAGACAAAAAAATGTATTTAAAGAATAATAATAAAAATAATATTTATAGATCGGTTTTATACTATTTATAGAATCATATCAATGCAAAGTTGAGTATTTTGAATGAGTTATTAGTGAAGGTATGCCTAGCGCCATCTCTCGCTTATGCTGCGATACACATATATATTCATCACAGAAATATCCCCTCTAAGTTTTGAATGATTTCCTTATAGTATAAATTTGTTAGTTGTTATTTGTTTATTTTATTTTAATTTCATACTTCATGCACAATGGGTACATAGGCGGATTTAATGATTTAGGCATATTCTACCGTTTTAGCCTCGTTATAATACTACTAACGTTATTTACATGTTAGTAACATAAGTTGTATTTGTTTTCCTTTTATATACAGTTTGACATTATCACCTATTTTGACATAAAGTTTATTATATTTTGATTTGCATTTTTTAAATGTATTTATTGTAATTTTTAGTATTTTGACCGTGTGAGACTTTGCCGCGCTTTTCGACTACAAGCTATCTGCGTTCTGAAAGTTTGAGTATTTGCGCGACCCACCCAAATGTGCTACTGATTGGTATTGTTCGTCGGACAACACAACAGTACCCGTTAGCTATACTAGTTGGAAACTGACACTAGCGTGCCTGTCTTCAGAACGGTTCTACTGGTGTCGTTCTTTAGTCAAAAGACCACTACAGAATAAACTTGCACGATACTCTCACATTATATTTTACAATGTCTGGACCTGAAAAGAGACGGACCTTTAAATTTGTTTCGACATTCCTTCTCATTGGCCTTTGGCCTATTTGCAAAAATAAATTCATTGTTTCATTAATGTATTACGATTGATACTTCACCAATTTTATGATGTTTTCAGGTTTTTGAATCAAGGTGAAATATCTAATTCACGCTTGTAATACTGATAATCTCGAAAAACTGAAGAAGGTACAACGATCTACATTAGTTTATGCGCTGGCCTTTAAACTACTAGTCGGTAAAGTTTTCTTTTTTGTAATGGGCAGACATTTGGCCGCTATCTCGCCAGGTAACTTTGAAGCGACCCACGATATAGCACGCCTACCCATAAGCAATCTAATTCAATCGTTACCAAGTAATCTTTATAATTTAATCAAGAGTTACATGCATCTCTCTATATCTACGCATAAAATGTAAGTAGGTACTTAAGTTAAGGTATATAATGTACTACGCGTTCACATATTGAGACATGGAGAAACTAGAACAAGTACCTATGAGTCAGACAGTACCTATCCTTAAATCCAAATTATCTCAGGCATCTAAATCGGCTGCTATCACGGAATACGGAGCGCTGTTGCTTAAGTCAGCCTACTGAGAATGGCATGAAAATGGACACGCTCTTTTCTTAGTAGGTACGGGTAATATATAGTTATATCCGAACGGTAGCAGATTATTATGAGGTAAATATTTTTGATATAGGCAAATTCTAGTAGGAGGAAATTAAGTAAGGGTAATTATTTTGAGAGTTTGTCATTGGCATCTGACTCTAATTAAAGGCATCGTCTAACAAAGGAGTGTTGGCTTTTTTCGGTTCACGATACATTTTGTAGGAACTAGAGGGATTAGAGTTTAAGATGATAAGACTGAAAAACTTGAATATTTTAAAATTTTCATTTTTATTTTTTACTGTTTTTACATCCGCGAGGTCTCATATTATAGAATGTATTTCTCTTATTTTATATGCGTAAAAAAATATTTGTAAGTACCTACATCTGTAATTGAAGAATTGGATTAACGGAGGTTCAATTTAAGATCGCCTTTGTTGCGTTTAGTCACAAGGTCATCAATATTCGTTTGTTCAGTACGTTATTCAGGTTAGCAAGTAAGATCAAAAAAGTATCATGTAAGCGATAAATCCATGCGTCAAATCTATATGTAAGACTATTGCTATTTTTAACTACTGCTGGTCAATTATGGAAGTTTTAACAATGAACACTTTCCGCTGAAATTTTAATTTTAACAAATCAAATGTAATTTACACCCTTCTTTTTGGACATTGTTGCTTGAGGTTTTGATGGGATATGTCGTATGCGTGTTGCCGGAGTTTTGAGCGTTGGAGATGGGACGGAGGGAAAAGCTGGGCTTCCAGCACCCTGGCTCGCGCAGTGAAACACATCCAGGAGGCCATGGTATCGATCTAGCCGAGTTAGGCTTTCGTGCTTCAGTATGGCTCTTCCTTGCAAGGGGTATCAACATCAACCGAAGCCAAGCGCACTGACTTAATGTTGCCCTTCTAGGAGCAAAATATGGATTTACCTCTGGAAATAACCAAAGAAGAAATTTTGGAATAAAAATAGTGCGCAGTGTATCGCAATTACAAATATTTTATCAGACATACAGTGTGACTAGTAAAAGTGGGCATTGTATGAAACTATAATGTCTATGTCTGCACTCTATTATTGTAAAGTAAAAAATGCCTTAACACGATTTTTTTATAAATACTTCGAAAATACGATTTATAAGACTTTAATTCTGGTAATATAAAATGTTACGTTTAGTGTAAGGTCAGTCGGTAAGTTCCAAATTCAGACATAAATACTTTAATTAGGTTTTTGTTTTAAATACTATTTAATTATTTGTATTGCTCACTCATTTGAAAGTCTAATAACAGATGACATAGATTGAATTGGATTAAATCTAGATAACTGACATCCTGAAAGTGTTGGCTGGCACTTTGCATTAGCATGAGGCAGAGCCAAGCTTCGGCACTAATTAATGCGTCGGCTTGACCTGAGTTATACTTGACGTTAGATATACTCAATTTGTCCTTCTCAACAAAGAACGATAAAAATAAGTATGTCTAAGGTAAGGTAATGGTTAACGTAAAGAGGTAGAATCAGGGGAGACTGATTCTTTTTTTTTCGTGATCGATCGGCAAACGAGCAGACGGATAACCTAATGGTAGGCAATCAGCGCCGGCCATGGACATCTGCAACAACAGAGGAGTTACGAGTGCGTTGCCAATTTGGCAGATTTAGGGATTGGAGAGAGGAAGGATTGGGACTCCGGTAACCTCACTCACACAGCGAAATACAGCGCTGTGGTTGTTTCACGCTGGTTTTCTATGAGGCCGTGGTATCACTCCGGTCGAGCCGACCCATTCGTGCCGAAGCATGGCTTACCCACACTTATTAGGCCATTATTGTCTGAGAACCACCCCGACAACTACTAACTTAACCCCAGCATAGTACTAGAAGAATTAAAAGAACTTCACTCCGTCGCTATTAAAATTAATTAAAAATTTTACAAACTTCAATAAAAACACACGGATGCATTTATCGCATTTTTAACTTCTATAAATTTTAAAATTACAAAACAAAAACTGAACAAAAAATTACGGACCTATTCATAGAAATACACGTAATTCGGATAAGGTGGATAAGAAATGTGAGAGAGCCATGCTTCGGAATGAATGGGCCGGCTCGACCGGAGTGATACCACAGAAAACCGGCGTGAAACAACCACAGCGTTATGCTTCACCGTGTGAGTCAGGTTACCGGGTTACCCAATCCTTCTTCCCTTCTTCAGTCCCATGTCAATTACTAAATCTCCAAAATCCTTATCTCCAAAAGGCTGGTAACGCACTTCTAACGCCTCTGATGTTGCGGGTGTCCATGGGAGGCGTCAATTGCTTGCCACCAGGTAATCCATTCGCTAGTTTGCCATTTTAGTGCTACTTAAAAAAGAAGTGAAAACCTGAAATATCCGAGAATCAATGATTCTAAATCTTTGTGTTGAGAATCTGTAATTACACAATAATCCTTTTGCGAAACTGTATTAAATATTTAATTTTGTAATATAGCATAAAATATACCTAATACGTATCTAGACTTTTTGAAGGATATCATTAATCATTGAATTAAAATAAATTACTATCGAATGTTCTTAATAACTTTTTTGAATGGGATTACAAATTAATATTTAATGATATTTTTAATACATCTATGAAATATTGTAAATTAACATAACTAATATGTTTAGTGAAAAAAGCCTTAGCAAATTCCACGTGACTAATTTATGTTGCTCTTGACTTTGGGCCCTGAGCGTGGCTTGAAACTAGTCGAACGCATGACCTTTTCAATAATATACAAAATTAATAAAAGACTCGTATGAGTCTTTTGTTAATTTCTAATTCAAAACTAATACATATGTATATATATATATATTAGTTTTGAATTAGAACTAATATATATTCGTTCTAATTCAAAAATATATATCGGCTGAGCAAAAGCCTCTTCTCACTCGGAGTAGATTTGAGCATTAATCACAACGCTCAAGGTTAAATGGGCTTCCTAGACTATTTTTATACATATGAATTGCCTAATTTTATGAGATACAGCCTGGTCAAACCCAGATAAACGGACAGATTGACAGCGGAGTCTTAATAGTAGGGTTCCCGTAATATCCATTGTGGACAAAAACCAAAAAATAAAATAAAAATTACATTAATAAAATTGCTAATCGTCTTAAAGTCTCGTCTATATTACAAAGATGTGCATAGTTGGTTATTACGCAACTCCACGTAGAATATATTTCAATCAATTTATTGTTACAAAGGTTGCCAACCGAATGCCATGTTTTGTAATACTTAAATCTCATAGGTAATCTGACAATTAACCATTGCCTAACTTAACTGTATAAAATGTCATGTTACCGTGTTGGATTTCAGGTTCATTCTTCTCTTTGATTTTTTTATGTGATAGGACTCCAAACTGGCAGACGAATTATCTGATGATAAGATCAGCGCCACCCAGAGACATTCGGACAAGACACCATAACGGAGGAGTTCCTAACGGAGAGGACTTTTTTGGGGATGAGGGTTTTGGAGATTTAGGGATTGGGGAAGGATCGGGACAAGGATTGAGCCTCCGATAACCTCACTTACACGTCAAAACACATCGCTGTGGTTGTTTCACGTCAGTTTTTTGAGTCAGAACCGACCCATTCATGCCGAAATAAGTAAAAATTTAAATATTTTGACACACACTTTGATCGTCGATTTAAGAATTACATTTAATTTTTAGTACGCAGAAATCATGACGTCATAATACACGATCTTGAAAATCGTATTGAAATCGACACAAGGACAAAAGATGGAACATAATAGGGCAAATATTCAGCAGTGAAGTATTAAGTTTGAAAAAGAACAAACGCTTGATAAGCTTTGGAGTGCGCCTGATATTTTTGTAAAAGCAAAGTCACAATACGCGACTTGTTATTAAAAAAAATAATTCCTATCAATACTTTAAAACAATTTTCACATTTTCATCGAACTTTGAGATCAATTTATATAATAATCGTATTATTTTTTATTTTTTTTTGTTTTATGAACATCACAGAGTCAATAAGGTTAGCATTTGTTGTGGATACCTAAGTGTGAAGGCAACAGGGTAAGTAGATATCAATCAAAATGCGACAAAGTGAGACGCGAAGAAAAACAAAGGATCTCATGATAGGATAATAGAGGAGAATGAAAAAGAAAACCTAATAATATTATGCAAACCCCATGTAATTTGGCCCGTTCGCCTTTATTATAGGACAAGTCGGCGAACAATCAAACACCCATAATATTCTCACCTAGATGGCACCTCGCCGCTGATACATCTCAAGCGTTATTTCACGCTGACTATCACTCCAGTGACGAGCCAGCTTATTTGTACCGAAGCATGGCTCTCCCACACTATATGCCACTTATTGATGCTTGATGGTAATTGGTCAATATAGCAACAAGAGCGTTAACGTCTATGGAATATCTCTAGTCTAATTAGAATGCCATTTCTACTACCCAATGATGGTGATACATAAACATTTTTCGTTTTTGTGTAGGCTAGATTGGCAAACGAGGTGACTGTATCTGATGGTAAGCCATCCGCGCCATATTACGAGTCTCCATGGGTATGGAGACTAACGTAATACCATAGGAGTAAATACAAGTGCATTGTTGATCTCTTATGGGTTTCTGACGTTCTAAGGTTCTAAAGTGAGTGAGTAATAGGAAAGATTGGACCTCCGGAAACCTCCCTCACAAGGTGAAATATAACTTAGGTAAGTGTTGCTTCACGGCGGTATACTGAAAGGCCGTTGTATCACTCCGGTCGATAAATGCCGCTTCCAAACTTCTACTTTAAAAAATGGATAAACAGAATGTAACTTGATTTTTGAAAATAATAAAGTAATTCAATCAAACGGAACATCACCAGGAAATGAATTCCACCTCATTAGGTATAGTGTCTTCATGCATGTGTAACAGTCGATTAATGTGTCCCCCGTATTGTAGTGTCATATCATTTAAATACGTACTCGTTTGCTTGTACTTGATACATACTTTCATTGAATTAGCTTCGTTTTTATCACTAATTTGGCTACCTGAATCCGACCGCATGAATCTTTCCAATAAGATTGGCGTCTTTCTTCTTCTTCTCTTCTTCTTATTATGTTGTTGATTACTCTTCTCTCTTTTTATAAGTACGTTCTTACAAGTGTAGTGTAAAATACAACTTATGTAGCGGGGGCTTCAAGGTGGTACTCAAATCTAAATTCATAATATTATGCCTCGATCTTTCTAAGTATGTTATTGTTATGAAATTCATAAAGATTGATATTTGTTTAAAAATTAAGTGAAGAAATAAAAGTAAATGTCTTCATCATTCAGAAAATAATAAGCTGCTTAGTTGAACCCTAAACTAAGTAGGTACAAAAATATCTTATTATTTTGTTACTGCAATCTGATAGACTAGTCATTACTGTTAGAAGTAATGAATAAAAAAACGCTCCACGATGAGCATTTCAACAAACATCCAGAAACATTAATTAATTTTATACATGCTCAAAACAAAAATGAGAACGCACTTTATTAGAATACAATAGGGCGGATGCATTTGTTTACACCAGGCCACATGCATCTAGTTGATATAGATTTCTTTATTTCCATTCCCTTTGAAATCTTCATTTGCAGTGTTATTCGTGATAAGACTAAACGTGATATGGAGTAAGGTGAAGCAGGAGTTAAGGCAATAGAAGATAATTTTCCATATAAAATGGATGCAGGCTTGGAATATATTGTGGAAAATCATGGTGATAAAGAAACTTATTGTAAGTACTCCTCCAATTAGTTAGGTACATAATTTTTGTGAAGTGTTTTGGTTTTATAAGAACTCTAAGGTTATATGAAAAGTTACTAAAACCACACACAGAGTAGACCATTGTCCCTTATTATATAAATGTCGATTGTAATCCAGTTAAAACAATCATGGTAATTGTGAAAAGAATTTATTTAGAAATATACCGTTGCATAAGAACTGCTTATAAATAAACGTAGGTATATTTTTAATCAACGCATAATCCAGTATCGTTTATTATTGGCAATGTACTCGTTTGGAATTTGTCGCTATACACAAATGAGAACATTAACAAAACAAAGCAGCGGTTAATTTAAAGGGTATTCCTCAAGGTTGCATCATTGGACCACTCCATAGAAAAATCCTTCCTTCTTCTTGGTTATTATTGCGATATATGTATGAATCTGTAACAAAAATTAAATAGCTTATTTACACTTTACAGTATCAATACCAACATGGACATTGCAAGAGACGCTGGTTGGCCTGGCTTTTGTTTTAGCAGCCTACCTGATTCTAGTCATGAAGGTTTTACCTTCATACATGAAAAATAGAGAGCCTTTTCAATTGAAAAACTTGATGTTGGCGTATAATGCATTCCAAGTCGCCTTCTCAGTCTACGTAGTGTTCATCGTAAGTGGTAGTTGTTGCTTTTATTATTTGATCAGGCGCTTTAATTAATTTATTAAGATTCATTTTACTCGTTAGTGATTCCCTTAAGGGATTTTAGGACAAGAAACTTTTTAAGGGTTTATTTTAGATTGATAGATTTACACCGGGTTTCTGAAAGGCTTGTCAATGCTAAAATTAACTAATCTCCTGTTAAATCTCTTGTCATGTCATCTGATTGGTTGTTGATAATTCAGTCAACCAATCAGAGACTTGACAAGAGATTAAATAGATTTTAACATTGATCGGCCTTTCGGAAACCGGGTGTTAATGTTAGATAGATATAGAGTGTGATTGATATATAAGCAAATGAAAAACTTAAATAAAATCCTATACTTACTAAATTTTATGATCCGTAATAGATATCACTCGATTGATACCATTACCATAATTAGTCACGTTTCAAATTAATTGAATATGTCAGAACCTTGAACTTCGCAACTTCATTAAGAAAATGAAAAGATGAAAATAATTTATGTAAAACATTATTAGTTAATTAAGTTTTTAAAATTAATATAAAAAAGTGGAGTGTAAAAGTGTACTTATTGATTTTTGTAAAAGATGCTCGTTACTTACTCAAAAGTAATTGGTATTAAGTGTTGCTATACGAATTATAAGTAATATTAATTAGATAATTAATATACATGATAAGTTGCGAAGTTAATTGAAGTCACATTATTTTTAGTATAACTCGCTAATTTTAGGTACGTGATTAATTTAACTAATTGGTATCATTCATTATTTTAATTTTAATATCTAATTATATTTGTAATATGAATATTTCAAATGTACAGTTATTATTAAAAATAGGTATCGATATTTGTTTTTCAAAATTTCCTTCTTTTTTACAGTATTTAAGGTACATTTACCGATTTAATATAATTACTACAAGATGTCCGCAAGGAGAAGATTTAAAAGGGGTACGTATACTTAAATATAATACAGTATTCGACAACTTTTGTTTAATTAATATGTTAAAAAATAATCTCTATTTTCTATTTCATTTTTTTTAATTTCGTGGCGTCATCAGACTTTTGAACAATAGATAGTAGGTAAATATTCAATAATTTTAGGTAACTGAATGAAATAAAAAATATTTTATTCATTTTACAAAAATTAAAACGCGTACCAGCTTTTTGAAGGATCTCTTATATAGACGTATTTTTTTTTATTTATCCCGGATACATTATAATTACTTAGTAAAAAATAAAAAAAAACATTAAACTTTTGTAAAATAAAATTATACCGAGGGTAATAAAAATGATGCAGGTTCTTTTAATCTTGCAATAATAAATTTATTAAAATATACATTAAAATGTGCATTTTTACATTGTCCTTGATGCTGTTTAGACAACCATTGTTTTAGGAAAATAAAATTACCTGACTACAAATAATGTAGGTAACACCTACGCTATTAGCAGTCATGGGTACATCCAAAATACTATTATGCTTCCATACTTGCTTTGTAAGCAAAAAAAATACATATATGATATGGGGGGTTATTTTAGGGTCAAAAAAATGCTCACCGTCAGAAAAGTTCATTAAAATTTTACTTTGCCTAATTGTTAAAATGTAGCAGACAAGTTTTTACAAATCTTTAGTCAAACACATAAGTCCGAGTAACCATGAAATAAATGCTTTAAAAAATTTTCAGGTCGTGCGCGAAATCTACCCATACTTCATAGCTAAGCACTTGGATCTTCTGGACACAGTATTCTTTGTCCTTCGCAAAAAGGATAACCAAATAACTTTCCTCCACTTGTACCACCACACTTCTATGGTGGCCTGGACCTGGTTGCACTTCATGTACCATCCTACTGACAACTTTGTGGTTGTCGGCATGTTGAACAGTTTCGTCCATGTCCTAATGTATGCTTACTATGGAATCTCGTCCTTGGGTCCCGCTTACGCGAAGTACATCTGGTGGAAGAAGCATTTGACTAAAGTTCAACTGGTGAGTGTAAATTGTTGGATTCTTACAGACTTTTTGTCATATTTTGCTCAACGTTTTACTGCATGACAGGTTATTTTTGCTCAGCAGTAGGTTTAACACCATAAAACTGGTGATGGCTTTCATTTGATTTTCTCCTAACTGATTACATAAAATTTTCCACTCCTTTGTACCTACCAATTCTGTGCTGTTCCTTTCGAACTGTTACCTAATTTAAAATTCAGTTCATTTAACCAATGTTGTTGTTGTTCAATAACCTCTAAGTGATAAAGTAACAACCAAACATACAAAATCGTGTTCGATTTTTTTTGTATTTTTCTTATTATTTTCAGTACTTTTGACAAAATTGTAAATGTATAAAATAATAAATAAACAATTAAATTAATGTATAATATAATATAAAAGTAAAGTAAAATAAAAATTGTCTTCATGAATAATTTAATGGACAAATTTTTGTCATTAGAATTTTATTTTTGACGTCATGTAAACAAAATAAACAAAAACGCTGCTGACCGAGGTCACCAAAATTTTCTAAACGTGTCGGTGTGACTGATAAATAAATTGAATAGTTATTACAACAATTGTATGCACCAAACTATAACAAAACCCGTTTATCATGATCTCACTTTGTATGATATTACCACAGATTCAACATTCAGTATATACTGGTTGTGTCAGTTAGACGTGTGCACATTTTGAATGGCACTTTTATCTCACCGAATAAAATTAAGTAATCTTCGATGTTTGATTGATGACCGTAGCCAAAGAAAATTTGGTTTCCACGGTGAGCTCGATGATGAAAAAGGGACTTTGTTTTGGATAGATCGGCGACCTGATAGCAAGCAATCAACACTAAAATAGTTTCCCTGAAATAAAATTTAACTTAGGGCCCGTTACACAATAAAGAATTTCTGTAAATTCGAATACAGAACCTATGTATGTTTAAACTGTCTGCCACTTAAATTAGTAAGTACTATTATATAATAGTGATAAAATAAGCTAATAAAAAAGATAATGTAATGAATCGTTTTCTTTTATCTTTCAGATCCAGTTCATCCTTGTGGTCTCCCATCTCCACTACCAGCAAAAGCTGTCTCCTTGCCCTATTCCAAGCTTCTTTCACAACTTCTGCATGTTCCTTATCTGTTCTTTTTTCGCCCTTTTCATGAACTTCTACATCAACAGCTACAGAGGGAAAAAGAAAAATGTTGAGAAACAGAAGATTGAACTTGCTGAATCGAATGCTAATGAGAGATTATTGAAAACTCAATAGATTAGTTTTAACATTTATTTAAAACAAAATGTTTGATTTTAGAATTATAAATAAAGTATTTTTATAGGCATGTTTTGTAAATTTAATCTCCGTTTTAAAAAAAAATTATTTAAATACTCTATTCTAGTTACCTTGTTAAGACAATAAATTTTATATATTCAAAATAATAAATATTATTGTCAATCCGGTGCATTGATTAGACAAGGCATAAGCTATTTTCCCACTCTGGATCACTGCTGAAATTATATAAATTTAAAAAGCCCTTTTTAAAAGGCAAAAGATAAGCAACGCACGATTGTCTCCTCTGGTGCTGCAAGTGTCCATGGGCGGGGCTGATACTTTTTCCGTCGTATCAGGTGACCCGTCCGCTCATTTGCCTCCTGCAATACCTACGATTACACAAAAAAATAAATTATGATGGTGTAAAAACAATGATTAAATAACTTTAAAAGAAATTTTGGAGGAATGAGGAACAGAGTGGAAAGTTCCTCATCCTCCATTGAAAAGGGAGGATCCTCCAACCAGGCGAGGTGTTCATGCCTGGTGGGCTACTGCCCGACGGATGTTGTCGGGATATCTGTATGGGTGCTAATTGTGTTGAAAACTCTTATAGCGCGATGTAGACTCTTGCTCGTGATTGGTGCTGTTGTTTTATGTAGTGCGCTAGATGTCGCTACATCACTCCCCTCCGAGACCGGAGGTCGTTAGCTGGTTGAGACGTCTGTGATATGCTTGTCGAGCCAGTTGATGATTTCAGTGCGTCGAATCTGTCTGCGAAGATGCCCCAGTGAGTCGGGTGGTGCAGTGCTGAAGAGTGGCTAGCTGCTGCGTCGACCAGGAGAGGGAATACGTCTCTGCTTGCTGACCGGCCGGTGCAGTATGCTGTGCCGGAATTTCTGATGAGGCTGTAGGTGCTGAAGAGTGGCTAGCTGCTGCGTCGACCAGGAGAGGGAGTACGTCTCTGCTTGCTGACCGGCCGGTGCAGTATGCTGTGCCGAAGTTGCTGATGAGGCTGTAGGTGCTGACCAGGAATGCGCGTTGGCTGCATGCTGGTGGTCAGGGAACCCGTTGTAGCCGTGGAAGCTGGCTGACTGTAGGATTCGCTGCTTGAAAGCTCGAGGAAGTGATGACGTCATGGCTATGACGTAGTTGCACGAAGGCTGCTTGATGTTCATGTTCGGGGTCACCAGTTTGGAGGAATGAGGAACAGAGTGGAAAGTTCCTCATCCTCCATTGAAAAGGGAGGATCCTCCGACCAGGCGAGGTGTTCATGCCTGGTGGGCTACTGCCCGACGGATGTTGTCGGGATATCTGTATGGGTGCTAATTGTGTTGAAAACTCTTATAGCGCGATGTAGACTCTTGCTCGTGATTGGTGCTGTTGTTTTATGTAGTGCGCTAGATGTCGCTACAAAATTATTAGTTAATCCGTCAGTGGACCCAGATACATTATGAAAAAAAGGCGAGAAAAAGACTTTAAAAATAAATAAATTACTCACTTAACAAAAATTTGTTTTTTATTGTCAATTCACAAGAAAACATAAGTCACCTAGTAAAACCTTGACTTATTTAAACGTTTCAAAGATACGTCACTTATTTTGTTAAAATGGTACCGATTTATTTACAATTAGAAATTTTAATAAACTTGAACACACGGCGACCTTTAGCACTGATGACGAATAATTTTTAAAACAAACACGTTGTCAATTACATACCGTAGATTGTATTTAAATTAATTGGCAAATTCCACAGTTGTCGAAAATCCAGTTCAGGCCCTCCGTGAGCTACAGCTAGCAAAATATGAGCTGGTTTTATGTAACTTGATTTTAAGCCCTTTATTTTAGATGTGTCGTTAGAATATACTTACAGATGGACTTTTCAGCAGCGTATGTCTTCACTACACTACACACGGTATTTTGATTTATTAAAATTTACATTTGCGGATCTTCCCATAAATTAGAGTTACCGTGAATGGACCAGCTTGACTGGAATGATACAATGGCCTCATAGAAAACCGATGTAAATGTCTTAGCCCTCTGTCCCTTCACTTCGCAAATCCCCAATCCCTAAAAGGCCAACAATCCATTTGTGGGAGTCCATCAGACGATTGGCGGCGTGGATTGCATACCATCAGCCAACAGACTACCACATGGGTCAAACAGAGATGCTGTTGAGCCGCGATTGCTGAGCAAATGCGATAAGACATCATGGTCTCGTCTTGGAGCAGGATAAGGAGCAGGGTGGTTTTAGTCAGTAAGACTCTAGGCTAAGCTTCTCACCTTACCTTGGGTGAGCGAAAACAATATCGTAGATGATTTTCCCCCTTAATAAGAATAGTGATTTGTCTGTTTGTTAGCTACCCTATTACATAGAAATAGTCACATTTATAATGATTAACTAGAGCAGAAAGGTATACTTCCTTTAATTCTATGGTTCACCAAGATTAATAATTTCAAAAATGGAACTTTTCAATCTAACTAACATCGCGTCGATAACTACGACCATTATTAGGTCATTGGGCGCCTTCTGTAAAAGTAACTTGTTTGAAGAGTTATTAACATTAAGTATGATGTTGGCCAATAGGCATAGGAACGACCAACGCATTTGAATGAATCTTCGCAAAAACATGCTCATAAATTTGAGAAAAAAACCGCCATTAATATTAATACGATTACGTTACATAAAGATTATTCAATATTTTGAGAAAGCATGTCACGGCGTGGCTGCTAGCATATTTGAACCGAAAACCAGTCGGTGACTGAGGAATATTTCGTACACGAGATCCTAGTACCACAATTGGTCACGAATTCAAAAATGTATTTTTATTCATAATTTCACTTTTTTTTATTTCCGCCAATCTTATGAATAATGACGAAGGAAAATTAGAGACGGTCGCGAGTGAAATCGTCGTAAGCTGTTTAAAACAATGCCAAGGACCTTACTTATCGTTTCTAAAAAATGGAAATTATTCGAATAATAACATAGAAAATGTTTATACGAGTATATTTGATAGTTAGGGTGTATTGATATCTGACGAGTAAGGGTTGCTAGCCGCCCGACCAGATCCAGACCCGAGCGGACGGCGCGTAGCGTTTCGCGGATGCCTCAAAGAGCCAATAAACCACCACAGACGGGGCCCTATAGGGCTGATGTTCAGCCGGGGTTGCGGGTTAAGCGCAATAAGTCACCGCGGCCTTGGCCCAGAGCAGTAGAAGGAACGGGGGAGTTTTTAGTCAGTAAGAGTCGGACACTCTCTCTCGCCTTTCCTGGACGACGGGAGAGGTAATTTGACGATTTTACCCTGACAAAAAAAAGGTCGTATCAATATTGATACACCGGGCAAGCGCAATTAGGTACCGTGGCCTCGGGATGGAGCAGGATAAGGGATGGGGTGGTTTTTAGTCTGAACGAAGTCTGACACTCCCTCGCGACTCACCTTGAGTCAGAGAAGTACCTAATTTGAAGATTTTTCCCCATCATAAAAGGTATTTATACGAGTACAACATAATAATCAAATATATAAAAATGGATCGCAAAATGTGTTGGTAAGCGCATAACTCAAGAACGCCTGGACCAATTTTGCTAATTCTTTTTTTGTTGTGTTTGTTATTGTCAGGAAAAGGTTCTTATCAAAGAAAATATTAGATAAGTAGAGGGGAAAAAATTTCGTTGTTAGCGAGATAGTAGGACCCCTGCGAAGTGGGGGTAGGACGCTAGTATTTTAAAAAACGATTCGATGCTCAGATCTTTCAAAAAAGTTTTGATAATCGTTCACTGTATTTCTTTTTATTTTAAAACATTGTTGGCAATCTAGTTGTGTATTCTTAGTACGTAGTCACTATAATATTATTAAACGAATTTATTTTACCTTATCATGCAATTGCCTGCTACAATATTCACGATACATTAAAGGAAAAAAAAAACAATACGTTGTTATTTTAATAATTTATTTCAATTCAATTGTTATGAATTACATTATAATTTTGACTGAATTGTATTTTAATTAATATTAATTAAAATTAATTAATTAATATTATTAATTGCAGGTAAATTAACATTAATTGTTTAACCGAAAAACATTTTTGTTGAGAACATTTATAATTTAATTATAATACATTAATTGAATAAAGAAAATGCTTGAATTTGAAAATGTTTGTGTTTTTTTTAAATATATAAAGTAATATAATACATTATTAAAAGTTAATATATAAATATTCTAAATGCGAAAGTAACTCTGTCTTTCTGTCTTTGTCTCTGTCGTTTGGAACTCGAGAAAGGATATAGGAAAGTTTTTAAACCAAAAATCTGCAGGAAGTCACTATTCCACGCGAAATAAGTCAAAAGCGGGCAAAAGCTTGTTTTTATATAAAAGGATAGATAAAATAAGTAAAATACAACCTAGGAACAGCAAGATAATGTTAAATACATGTCAAGATTTTTTGGTAATACAAAGAGTCTATCATATTCAATGGTGTACTTCTGTATTTGTATTGTCCGGTTCATGTATATTTCTATCTTTGAGCCAATTTACAAGCGTCCGTATAAAACTTTATCGTTTATATGAAACAATGAATTTATTTTTGCAAATAGGCCATAAAACGGCACTTTTACACGTCAATTTATATGTGAAAAACTAGATGAAGCAGGCTAAAATGCCTGTAGGAAAGTCTATATAAAAAAAAAATAACGGTAGGAAGAGACAAATTTATATGTAGCAAAAAAAAAACTCGCAGATTGTACACAAGCTAACCAATTTAACTTAGATTTAAAAAAAAAATTTACGCCTCAGCACTGACTTTCTTAGTTTGAATAAATTCGATATGATTCCAGTATTAAAATATGTAGCTAAAGGTTCTTAAATTCAACCTTTAATCAATTTCTGGCCACATCCTACTACATTCAATCTGACACGTGCTAATACATGTGCGAGCTACGTTTGCCCAATAAACAGACGAAGTGAAAACCTATGTGGACCCCGCCAATGTAATAAAATAACTGGCTGGCGACAGTATTTGAATATTGACTTCACAACCAACTAGAAAAAATAAATGTTAATATTGTAAAGAGAAACTTTTGTGTACAGATTAAGGTACATTTTTGAGGACAATTAGTTGATCTACCTAGTCTAGCCATAAATACTGTTACAAATATATATTTTTTTTTCTATTGCAAATAACATTTATTACTTTTACAATATGTAAGTTTAATACATAAATATTAAACAATTTAAAACATAAAAAGTTTATTCGAAGTGGTCTCCATTGGCTGCAATACAGTCCTTTAAACGTTGAGGCCAGTTATCAATAGAAGCACGCACTCTTTCCATGGGAAAATGCTTCACTGCCAATCGTATGGATTGTTTTAGGAAGTCCAAATTATCATAACGTTTAGAACAAGCCCTACTCTCTAAAACTGACCATAAATCATAATCCAGCGGATTAAGATCGGGACTAGACGACGGCCAGTCTTCAGCTCTGATGAAGTCGGAAACGTTCGTTTCCAACCAAGACTGCGTGGACCGAGCTTTATGACCCGGCGCCGAGTCTTGCTGGAAGAACCATTGTTGGTTATTGAACATGGTGTTGTTAAGGGGCTTAACTACCTTCTCAAGAATAGTATTTTGATACACTTGTGACGATGTTTTGATACCTTTTTCGCAAATGTATGGCTCAGTCACTCCTTCATAGCTAACACCCCACCAAACCATCACTGAAGTCGGATAATGCCCACGTTGCACTCTGTCGACTAATTGAGAAGCTTCCTTAGAGCTTTGAGCATAAACACGGTCATTTTGTTTGTTAAAATGTTGCTCAATTGTAAAAAAATTATCATCCGTAAACAAAATTTTTCTGTGACCTCCCTTTGCGTACCGCTTCAGTAGTTGTTTAGATTTTATCACCCTATTCTTTTTTAAATTATCATTTAAAAAATGTCCAGTTCGTCTCCTATAGGCTGCAAGTCCTAAGTCGTCTTTTAAAATACGCGACATGGTTCTAGGTGCTATCTTCATCTCCCGAGATAAAATCTTTTGCTTTCGGACAGGATTTCTTCGAATTCTTTCCCTTACTGCTTTGACCACCTTTTTCGTACGAACACTACGTGGACGGCCAGATTCTTTTCTGTCACAAACAGAGGAGGTCTCATTGTACCTATTAATAGCCCGGTACACAAATATTTGACTAATGCCAAGCGTGTGGAGAGTTTCAATAATTGCATTTGGCTCCATACCCACTTTGTGTAATGCAATCACAGCGATTCGATTCTCTTTATCACCCCACTCCATTTTAATATCGCAAAATATTGAACAATTTATTGGCGCCAAAATAAGAAAACACAATGAAAAATTATTTTTGATGACTAACATTTATGATATAAGAAAAATATGATAACTATTGATGATGATTAACAGTATTTATGGCCAGAATATGTATAATTTTGGTTTGGTAAATTTTGTGATCAAACTTACCAATGCACTGAAAAACGTGAATACTTACTATTTTCGGTTTTCTCTTACTCAAGATTCGACCTTCAGCATCATTTTCTTCCTTCGGGCAAATCATTTCTGATTTTTTTTTCATTTAAGTTATTATTGTGTTTCCAATAATCTATCTAATATTCAGTTTGTTGAGAATAATTGTATCTTGACCCTCTACTTTTGGTCTAATTAGGCCTGAAATTAAAAGCATTTTGTGAAATGAATTATTTTATTGTTCATTGTTACACATGTTTTGTTGAAAAGAAAGGCACTTAATTTGTGACAAAATTTCCCCATTCCTTCAATAACATCAAAATACCTACGAATATTTTTTTCATTTACATTTAGCTAAAACAGAATTTAGCGTGTCCATTGACGCGCTGAAATCAATTAAACCAACCACTGTCGATAGTAAGTCAAAATTTGTAATGAAGTCTTTTGATGACTTTGTTCGGTTTTCCATGTTTCTGAGTGCTATAGGCTACAAAATATACGTTACCTTCTTTAAAAGAAATATATTTATTTTTATTTCAGATTATAAAACGCTGTTAATTTTAAATCCTTAATCTGATATGATTTGGTTATACACGAGTAAAAAATGTAAGGTATATTTTTTTGGAATCACTCACACAAAATTACGTAAGTTACCTACTTAACTACATTATAGGTACAATAATTATGTCTATTATATCTGCATAGACAAGTAAACGTTATTTACTATTGTGTGCACAATTAAATATTTGTTAGTACATTTAAAAAATCGATTCGTAGTATATAAATTAATAAATAGTTCGATGCATTGAATTCAAGTTAAATTTATTTATGTGCAAATTTTGGCCATGTATGATTAGTGAGCAAATTATAATCAGGGTTGACATTAAATGAAACACATTATGTAATTACATATTAATCACAATAATTAATACATTTTATCGTTCAAAACTTATACCAATAGCATTATTAATTTATTTATTGTAAGTGTGGGAGAACCATGGTTTGACACGAATGGGTCAGATCGACCGCAGAAAACCGGCGTGTAACAACTACAGCATTGTATTTCATCGTGTGAGTGAGGTTAACGCAGGTCCCATTCTTCCCCACCCCAAATACCTCCCTAATCTCTAAATCTCCAAAAACCTTATCCCCAAAATAACGGAAACGAACTCAATACTCCTGCGTTGTTGCGGTTGTCGATGGCAGGCGCTGATAGCTTGCCACTAGGTAATCCGTCTCCTCGTTTGCTGTCCTATCACAAGCCAACCCCGGCTTTGTCGCCTCGCCTTACCCTGAGTGAGAGAAGTCATTTGATGAGGTTACCTCCACCAATGGTCATCTAATTAAAAGAATCCATTAACACTTTTACACGTTGCACAGCAGACGGCCACATAGCCACACACACCATTTCATATTTAATCGGTATATATTATAAAGGCTATCAACCCTAGCCTAGCTATCGATTGCTAATATGAACGTACGCAGCAATACTTGTATATTTACTTACTATAGCGATTACCAACAGACAGTGAGGAAATTTATAATTGACTAACAAGCGAATAAGGATTGGTCTACAATTGTTGATAAGTTTGAATTATTATATTGATATAAAAAACTGCAATTAATTTCAATTTTTTTTGCAAAAATCTATGTATGTGATACAGTATAGGTATTGCCTACCTGCTTTACATAGATTTTTTTATTTTAACATGCGAATATAATACCAGTTTTTTCAATTACAAATAATTTATCAATCGCTGCTTGTTAGCATTTTTATTTTTCGGTATTTCAAGAGATTGTTTTATACCATACCAAATAACATAAGGATTAGGTTAAAACATTGAGCAACCTCATTGCTATTTACTGATCGACTTTCCTTAGTCTGTGTTTTTTTTTTATTTGAGTATTTGACAACTGTTGTTGTTAATAGCGGTTTTATGTTGTTATTACTTTTATGAGACGAAGTAAATGCATCATTTTGCTTACTGAATGACATTGAAGGTATCACCTACTTTCACACATATTTTTCTTTCACACCACAGCAAATGGATCCACAGTAAAATATCTACCAATCAATATTAATCGACATCTAGTCAATCAACAAACAGAGAGACGACGTCACATAGAAACTGACAGTCAATTATATATTAGATAATATTAAAATATGGATTTGGCACAATCCTAAATTCATTGAAGATTGGTCATAAAAACATTCTATCATGAATATGACTGATAGGTAACTGATGTTCGATACATAAAAAGAAAAAATTGGTTCAACATAAATCATTACTTAATCATATTTTGTGTATGTTAGTTTTATTATTTTACAATTTTTTTTATTCAAATAAGTTAAAATAATTCTAGGAATCAAAATTTAGAGAAAAAATTGATAACAAGTATATAAAAATAGAATATACAAAATTATGTAAAATAACACAATTTTTGAGGAGTTTTGTGAAACACGAAGAAAGGCTTATTAAGAATTACTTTTGTATTTCGAAATTTAAAAACCTTAAAATTTTAATTGAGTTTGTTTTGAACATTTAGTTTGAATCTTGTGTTAACATTTTTAACACTTAATTTTGAAAAATCACATACTATAAGTATCTTAATGGCTCCTCAAATAGGTATATTGGTATACCTATAGATTGATTAGTAATTAACAAAAAACTTTATAAGTAGTAAAAAATACTACACGTGGATAAATTTTGAACTAGTTTTTGAAAAGCGAGTGAGCACTACGCCCACTTCTTGTAAACTAGGCTTCATTCATCCGGAGGTTTCGAACTGTCCGTTGCGTGTGCGCAGGTTTGCTAAAACAGCCTCAGTTGCCTTCAAATCACCGCGCTAGTCGCTCGTGCCTCACTTTGGAGCGACTCAAAAACCGCGAGTGATTTAAAAAAAGAAATCCAAATAAGGATTCGTAATTCGAAAATATTCCTTTTTTGAGTTTTAAAAATTATTCGTCGTTCGCATCATTTACAGCGAAGGTTAGTGTTTCTGTTATTTTCTTTTGTAATGTATTTACATGAAATATGTGATTTGTTTTAGAAAGTATGATTCGGCTGTACCTATGTGACATCGTTGATAACCTAGTTTAGTAATTTTACGTTGAAAGTACCTATTATTCATTGTGTGCCATAAATTTTTGTGACACCGACAGTTTTAGCTACAAAATATTACCTATACTTAGATAGACATTATAGTCTTGGAGTGGAGTCAGGAACCGTGATTATATTCATTATAGCATTGATTTAGATACTACTGACATGAAGGAAAACATCGTGAGGAAACCTGGACTATAAATTTGAAATAGCAAATCCGCTTTGCGAAAGCGTAGTGATTAATGCCTTCTCTTAGACTGAGAAAATGCCTTTGCTCTGCAATGGTCACTAATGTATAGGCTGGTTATATTAATAAAGCTTGTAATAATCCTTCAAAGAAAGAAGCAGTTTTGTTTTGTTTTTCTAAAACCACATATTCGTTAATGTTTGAATAATCTTTCAAAGGTGATCAAAAATTTGCCCATTACTAATCTAGTTTTTGAGTTATTTTAAATTTGACCTTTAAGTGATTTTTGTGGGAATTCGAATCATATTTTTAAATGATGTTATTATGTTAACTAGTTTAAAAGTCGGAAAAAAGATTATTGTGTTTTTCCGATTGAAATAATTACTCCACGTGTAATTATATAGTTATAGCTAGTTCATTAGGTATATAAACAAAACGACGATTTTATCTAGTTTAGTAGAGCTTCTCCAGCCCAGGGTGCGGCGAGAGGAAGTGTCAAACTCTTACTGACTAAAAACCCCTCTTTCCTTCTCCTGCTTTAGGCCAAGGCCGAGGTGCCTCATTACGCAACAATGTACATGGAACAACAATTTGCGATACTCACAAAGAATTGTTCCGTGCGGGAATCGAGCCCGCGTCAGGTTTTACAGCTGCCGATTGGCCAGCAATTGCGTCAAACATGCAGCATAATATTATCATTATACTAATAGAACAAAGGCAAAAACTTCAAATTTTTTATTCCAAATTACTTACAGCTTAATACAAACCACTTTCAAAGTAAAAGTGAAACATTACTGACAAGATGTAAGCATAGGAGCCTGAGTAGGCAAATATGTTAACAACTTTTAGTTAATTACTTTAATCAGACTAAGTTATTACTTAACTACACGAAAATTAATGAAAAAAAGTGTAATGTTATGTAATTTTTCGACATTTCATGCTTATAACGGTTAGGTTAATTTGAATTTGGTGTTTTGCGTTTTCTAATTACTCTCCTAGACATAAAGAATGAATGAATCGTAAAACTGAATGGTTTTTATTCAAAATTGAAGCTACCGTTTAGGCTCTATAGGTGTGTCTTAGGTCATGTTTTATTTTGAAAAACCGTCTTCAGTAGGATCTTATATCCTTATTCGCTATTGAGAGAATCCTGATAAATAGCTCATAGTTCATAATTAAATTAAAAAGATATTAAAACCAAAGCATGATAACAATATAGCTTTAAGGAATCAAATTTCGCTCAGCAACAAAATAAAACTTTTTACTTAATTTGAAATAACTAGCTACTCCCGCGCAGTTTCACCTGATGCTCGGCTCCATCCGACGTATTGTGATGTTTTATTATATAACTTATAGCCTTTCTCAATATATAGACTATATAACACAAAAGAATTGTTCAACTCGAACCAGTAGTTTCGGTGATTAGTGCGACCAAGCAAACAAACAAACTTTTTACCTTTATAATATTGGGTAGATAGATAGATTGCATCTAGGTTCACTGATTGGTAGATTGACAATTCAACTTTAACTATCAAAAGTTTCATATAATAGTGTTTTGTATTAGAAATGTTAAATATGATTACTAATGCAACTATGTACAAATTTGCAGTACCTATAATATCAGTTATACCACAAGGTAGTTATTGCCCGTGATTGAAGCAATGTTTTTTTTTAATTTCGCGAACATTTAGTTAGGTTCTGATTATTTCCAGTTATAATTTTCTGTACAAACGCATTATTTTAAGAATGTTGGTTAGTTATTATGTTTGACGAGATACTCGACTAGTTTCTAGCATGGCTTGAAACTAGTCGAGTATCTCGTCAAATTATTAGGTACGTGAGTAAGCCGAAAACATAATAATTAATATTGGTTGGCTCGTAACTGGGTAATGTATAAGGCCTAACGAATACTTCTAACTATACTTTGTATACATAAGCTGTGAACCTACCTTATCATAATAAATAAATCAATAACACTTACACTACGGCTCATAGCAATATCGTTATATTATTAATTTGCCAAAATATACATATCTAAATTAAAATGAATACCCTAAAATTGAGACGACTTTTAAATAAAAAAATCAGGCAAAAGTCATTCAAACAAACAGACCGACACACAAATATAGTATTACAAACTTTTTGATAAATAAAAGGCATAAGTGTTATGTCACGTTTTTGTAGAATAAATGAACATTTATAAGAAATACTGACGAACAATGAAACAATTAACATAACATGGACACCAACTAATTTACAAATGTTTTAATTGGCAGTGCATATTACAACCTGACCCCAAGGTGACTGTTTGCCGTTATGATTTAAAATATTAACCTTTGCGTGTTTACTTGCACAAGTCAAGACTTATATAACAAAACGACGTCAAACTGAGATAGAAAAGTAAAATAAAATTCTTGCTTTTTTTTTCAAAATTGCCCACACCAATTAGCTACACGGAAAGTTTCTTTTTTTTAGCGTTGCCCCGTACTGTGATTTTCTCCTTCGTCTTGGTACTTTTACAAACATAAAATTTCATACACATGACAGCCAAACCCAAATTATTATCTCTATCTAAATAACTAACAATATTAAAAAAAAAATCTGAGTCTGGAAAATCATCCAATGACTTTTCCCGTCCGGACGAGAGTGAGTGTCAGACTTTTACTGACTTAAAATTCCTATTCCTTTTCCTGCTTCGAGTAGAGCCGAACACCAGTAACCATGGCCCGTTTATATAATAATCCTAAGACCTCCAGTGGCAACCTCTGTACCTACTCTAGAACTTGTTTACTTGTGCACTCATATAATATGTAGGTACGTATGTATATTTCAGCATACCTGCAATTATAAGTATGTGAATCATTTTAAACAAAAGAGTTTTTATTATTAATAAAATTAAACAAATGCCACAATACAAAAGTTGGTTTCCAAACAACATGAACATCAATACCTATATAATTTATATAATATATATTTACCTATATAATTTAAATCGTGTCACTTTGACATGTTGTACTAGTCAGAAAGTATAATGAATGCCATTAGGTTAATACCGTTAATCGTTGACGTATTAAAAAAAGCATAACTTTGTTCCACATCGTTGGTTGTTAATACTTTTATCTTTACAAGGATATCAATTTTAATTTCAATGTTAAGTAGGTAGTTATTAATTTCTTAAGCATCCTCTTAGATTTACATGACGCAGGACAGGCTGAGCATGCGACTTTAAAATGTTGCTAATTGCATAGCTATAAACTCCTACTTTTAATAGTAATTTTATAATTATTGCAACGTTATAAAATCGAACTATTAACGTTGTACTTTGTAACTTGTTATAGTCCGTATATAAGGGAATCATTAGATATTTGCATGTAACATAAACAAAGATGAGACAATGGCTTGTGTGCAACGCTTTATTAAGTTTATTCATAAGTTGTTATTTCCAGGCATATATTGTAACTAAGGGTAAAAAGAAAAGTTAAAGCTGTAAGTATAATGGTGTGGGTGGGAGAAGATACTGATATATGATATATGATATATGATTGAACAAGAACAACAAAAACACATTGCATAGTATATGTAATAAAAAGTCGCTTTCTCTGTTGTTGTGTTCAATCCTTATGTATGCTTACCTAAATACAGTGATAGAAGAAGAAGGTTTATATGTATAATATTCATTATGTAGTGGAGAAATTTAGTATCAGCATTGCAGCCATGCAAAGCCGGGGCGACCCGCTAGTACCTACACAATATAAATATTATTATGTAAATAGTTCCAAATACATTCCGACCTTAAAGAATTCGAGTGTCACGCTATCACTTAAACAATAAATAAATAATGCATAAAATTATTTGTTGTAATAATTAACAAAACAAAGAATAATGACCGAGTCAAATATTTTGACAAACATGTCATAAACAGTAGGAATTGATTTGAATTTAATAAGTTAAGTGCTAATGTACTTGCAATATGAAATACTAAGTTGTTTTTATGAAAAAAAAAGGAAAATATCGTCGCATTCTTTGTGGAAAAAATAGGGGATTTTCTTCATAATATCTATGACAAAGTACCTACCTAATGTAGTAAAATCCTACAATCATTGGGTATAATTTTATTCTATAATAAAAAAGAGGTTTTTATCTTCTGCGATTGAATTTCGTGTTAGTCCGGTTTAGGACACGGAATTTTATAAATGATGTCATATTTTTTTTCTTATAGTACCTAAACGCGAAAGTCTTACTATTTTCTTACCTCAATTGTCACGGCGAAGAAGGACATACTAATTAAAACAAAATTAGGCATAGAAATTTAGAGACATAGAGTTCATTTTTCTATTTTATTATTATTAGTTTGAATCATTATTTAATTCGCATGTGATCATTAAGAATAAGAAAATAGAGATGGCATTGTTTTACACTTCCATAACACGGTACCTACGCTTTGTTTGTTTGTTAACAGAGATAAGACTTTTAAAACTACTAAAATGATCTTAAAAAGTGGCTGTTGATAATACCATTTGCTAGTTTTTATCTACAAAAAAAATATTTACGTATTCGAGATGTACTTACCTTTGTTACCTACAAAGGTACACAACTATTTCCTCAATTTTCTCGATGTCTGTCTTCCGATCTTGTATATCTGTCTCTAGGTCTGTAGGGCAAATAACCGATAATTTAAACTTGAATATAATTGCGTAAC